GTGCATGCCTTACATTTCCGATAAATTCAGTGCAGCAATAAAACAGTGCATAACGCGAGCACAACTGCAGAATGATGTTATACTTGTGAACATTCAGAATGAGAACATCAAGAAGCGATTGGTAAGAAATAGGCTCTACGACGCTGAATGTTTGTCGGAGCATTGTGTTGTCTGTCCATACGGAAAAGTAGGCGATTGCGCAAAGGCTGGAGTAGTGTATAAATTGGAATGCTTGAATTGTAAGGCGACATATATCGGAGAAACGGGTAGATTGCTGAACGTCAGACTCAAAGAGCATTTAGCGGCTATGAGACGAGCGAATGCGATGTCACCGTTGGGAAGACATAGAATTAAAACGCACAACGGCGGTGGATTTGGCGTTAAATGTACTATCTTGTCATACGAGGCAGAGATTCCAGTGAGAAAGACCGTCGAGGCAGCGTGGATTTCTCTTAGAAATCCTAGCATGAATAACAGAAACGAATGCGTATCGATGACAACCGAACTCTTGCCTATCTTAACGATCTGTGAGCGGTAGCCTGCCCGTATATAAGTGTCGACCGCTGAGCAAGAATCAGTGTAGTCTGTCTCTCCGGTGCGGCTACGTACTGACTCTACTGACTCTCACTAACACAACCGTGGATTAAGGTTCGTTTCTCATCGCGTGTCCCAGTACGTTGATTGCGGGACGGGGTCTAGACTCGGCAGTGCGGGGAGGCGTTTGGCGGTCTGGTCTTGCAAAGATAACACTGCAATCTATTTTCAGGCCTCCGACGAAGACGAATTTGTCGAAACGTAAGGCCAATAAAGAACTCCACCGTACAAACCTGGCACTGGCATAACATAGTATAGCCACTAACACAAAACTCAATTTTCAAGCAACAGAAAATAATGTAATGTAGCCATTATGTCGGCTGTACAACAGTAAACTTGTTTGCATAGTTACGACAAATTTCGAAGTTGGCATAATGATTCAGCCGCGGCTGTCATCCACTGAATGTTGAGTGGAGCACCCCTCATAATCATAGGTGACTAAGATCACGAGATAGAACAGGAGACCTCTCAGAACTTCAAATCTTAGCTAATCTTATTCTTTGGGTTTAATCTGGCATGGAACAGAGGAAAATAGTGAAATTTATGATCATCTCGAATCCATTTCGCAGGGAATTTTCGTGGGAAGTTTTTCAAGTCTAAATCGCTACCGCATCATTAGGGAGAATCTGAATGTTGCGGAAGCTATCACCATGTAGGCAATGTAATAAATCAAGTTCAGCATTCTATGGACATTGCAAACTGAGTTTTGTGGTTTGAAAGCGTGGCAACCCTATGTTAGAGTTGGAGTCTGTCCGTACATACTAGCGATTACGCACACTTTATGAAAGCGCTTTTCAACTCATTTATCGAAAAGGCTCAGTGGACTCCATGATCATCTGAGATAAACAAGATCTTGAAAACTCCTCAAACCAGCTGTTTGTTGATGCAGATTGACCTTTAGTGCTTCTGAAAGCAAAAAATGCGGTGGCCCTTTCTGTTTGGAAAGAATGATAGGTCGCGGATGTTGCAAATGTTTCACATTTCAGTATGCAACTGTACAAAGAAATTTTAGAGTCAGAGGATGCGATGGTGTTCAAAAAAGCTAGGTGTCTTTATAATCTTGTCCAGCTTTGGGTAGGGGGTTTTTCGAATTTTTCTATTTTTCTTCGTTTGAATTCAACAAAATTGGAAGCCTTTTTGAGGGGTCATGACAGGCCAACACACGCACTATACAGCAAAGTTTCAGACGGATTCAACCAACGAAAACGCAAATTACGACGATTTCTAGAGTGTCTTTATAATTATGGCCAGCAGTGGCTTTGTGGCTGCCCGCTGAGAGCCTTTGATAATCTGAGCTAAGGATCGCTGTTACAGTTTCCTGTCATAATGTCGCTTCGCACCCACGATCACATTTTGGCGGGAAAAATTGAATTCAACCAGAGCAATGGCTCCCAAAAGCGAGACTTTCGGAGATTTTCTCAAAATTTTGGGAAAGTGTGTTATATCGTTCTAAAATAGTGTTTTGCTCTGAGGATCGCTGTTACAGGTTCCTGTCACAAGGTCACTCTCGCACCCACGCTCACATTTTAAAGGAAAAAATTGAATTCAACCAGAGCAATTGCTCCCAAAAGCCAGATTTTCAGAGATTTTCTCAAAATTTGTGCGGAAAGTGGATCAGATCGTTCTAAAATAGTGTTTTGCTCGGAGGATAAAGTAGTGTAAAGTAGAGTAGAGTAAAGTGGTGTTCCGCTTTAAGGACCGCTGTTACAGCTCCCTTACGGAATGTCACTTTCGCACTCACGCTCACATTTTGGAAAAAAAAATCGAATTCAACCAGAGCAATTGCTCCCAGAAGCGAGATTTTCGGAGATTTTCTCAGTGAGCGGGAAGTGGATTATCGCTCTAAAGTACTGTTTCGCCTCAAGGATCGCTGTAACAGTTCCCTTTTGCGATGTCACTCTCGCACTCATGCGCACATTTTAAAGAAAAAAATCGACCTCAAGCAGCGCGAATGCTCTGAAAAGCAACATTCTCGAAGATTTTCTCAAAATTTGACTAGAAAGTGGAAATGGTTTCAAAATAGCTCAACTGACATGAATGGGAAGAGCTTGAAAAGCGAACGAGAGCAAAATGAATACTGAGATGGGATGTGAGTGGATCAGAAAATGGTATGCTTTTAAACCTAACTTTTGCAACGACCACCATCTCGCATATTTCAACACACTTGGCACGCGCTTGCGTATTTCAGCACAACCATTGCAGCAGCAGAGCATACCCGGCGTGTCGTGGTCGCTCTTTCGCGCTAGGACCCTGCGTCCTCTCCGCCTCACGCTCAGACAATCGCCGGGGGCAGGCGGGCACCGGAAAAATAGATTGCTGATTTCTCGCACCCCGCTCGCGGATTTTTCAGCGGAATCACCGTTTCGGAAAGCCGGCCTTTGGGTTCTCCGGAACGGGGATTGTCGGATTTCGAGCATTCTCAACTTCATATTTGGAATCAGGAACATGAGAAGGCCCTGAAACGACGAAAACGCGGAAGTCGAAAATCTGGGTGGACGGTGCCTTTAAGCCGAAAAGTCGAGAAAAAATCGCATCTCCGTTCAAAAATCTCCTACCGACTTCCTTCTTGCTCGGGCATACAACCACTTTCTACACTATCATCTATTTGATACTTTGCCTATTTTTCATGGCTAGAACTCGATAAACATACATACACCAAATAGGCCAAAAGTTCGAAAAAGTCATCTTATCCGGTTTTTTCTGCGCAAATTGATATTTCCCAAAAACTGTTGCCTGTGAAAGGTCGCAAATTCATATTTCCACAAAAGATTCATACTATAGAACAGCCTGTGTGAGAGCAGGACAGCTAAAAACATTATAAAATCGTGGGAGACCCTGATACAAAAAATGAATGTAGAATGATCTCTAAAAGTCGAAAATTCGAAGATCATAATTAAACTTACAAGGAAACGATACTTAGTCTCCCCGGCCTTTTGAAATGAGATGTATACCATTATACTCGACTCAAAACGCTGATTTCGAATCTGACTTCCGTTTTTGCTGATCGTTTCTCTGAAAGGAGTTATGAAGGGTTTTCGAGCCAAGTTTGGTCGCCCGAGGGAAATACGATTGGAGTGACAGATACCTCTGGTAGGCTGTGGTGTAGTGGTCAAAGAGATAGCCTCATAACTTTTTGAAAAGCAAACATCCTCGAGGTAAATGCACATGCCCTTCCTATTCAAAAAATATGAAAAATTCGGAGAAATAATTACTGTTTGCCTAAAATGTATCTATTAGTCAGAATTCGAGTAAATTTACTCGAACGAAACGTGGTATGCCGCAGGCCAGCTTGGTGAGCATCCTGGTCAATTGCAAACCCCTGTACAATATTGCTTCGAGAAAGCCAACTGCAACGATTTATTCTTTATCCGATGCGCTCACAGCGAGCATCTCCTATGTTTTAATCATTTTTTCATAGATTTCCATCACTGTGTTTAACATAATTTTCCATTCATTTTCATTTTTGTAAGCACCTTTCAGAATAAATATAGCAAGCACTCATATAAAAATGACTCAATTTTCCATTCATTTTCATTTTTGTAAGCACCTTTCAGAATGAATATAGCAAGCACTCATATAAAAATGACTCTTCGTTGGCTTTTTTAAGTAAGGGCATGCATCTATCTCGACGATGCCTAACCTTCAAAAAGAAGATTAATTGAGGCAATTCAAAACTAAACAACGCAAAAGGACTCGAATCCACACCTGCATCAACTTATGAGGCTATCACTCTAAAAAATACGGGCCATACGGGCCCTGAGTAGGAAAATCGAAAGCAAATAAAATTAGATTTCATCAGACCTTTAGCATTTAGCGAGTTGAAAAAAATTGTTTGGTTGTTTTTATCAGCTTATATCGTAGACTGCCAACAAATGCTTCTTTAAAACTTATCTCGTCAAACAAACTGTTGAAATAAAAAAAAATATTACGGACTTTCAGGAATTTTAGTGCAAGACCTATGTACTGAGGTAATACACAAGCAGGCAACGGCGGTTGAAGCTACTAATTATAAGATTCAAACCTATTCAGAAGGAGATGCCAGAAAGCGCAGCGCTGAAAGCTTTTAAGCCAGAACTTGCTGAGGTGACTACGCTTATTGAGTTCGCGGTATACTGTGAAAATTGCTTTGAAGTTGTTCACGGCTGCGCAGTACACTCATCTCTTTCCCGTTCAACATTAATAGTTAATCATTCTTCCAATTTTTTAGAGCTTTACGTTCAGCAGGAGCTGCAATAACTACCGGGGCGGTATAGCTACTGCTCACGGTACGTTCGGCGCGATCAATGTCATTTGATTAGAAACATAAATGGCTATTCGCGGAGGTGATTACTTTAACTCTGGTATATTAGAGCTACGGAAAAAGTAGGGGCGGGAAAGCCGCCGTTATCCGACACTTTACATTAGACGCCCTGAAGACATGCACCGTGAACTGACTCTAGGTGAGTTACTCCTTATGGCTAACTCCATGTCAGATTAGAGGATCCTCAAAGAGAATGTTGTGAACCTTCCAGCTATTTGTATTCTCGCATAAAAGATGCTGCGATTTTAGTGAAGTTTACACTGATTTGTGCGAGTGAACGGGAAAGAAACCGGCTTCTTCAAATGCCTATCACTGCTCGAAAAATTGGGAATTAGCTCTTTAGCACAACGGACTCAAGCATATTACCAAAACATTATACTAACCTAATAAGCATGAAATGTGAGCTATCTCATAGCATTTATTGACATTTTTTTGCTATCGCTAATTACTCTACACATATTTTCTGCTAAAATTCTTTGAGGTGATGATAACATTTCAGCACTCTTTTTGTCTCCTTCATTTACAGATATAGTTCTTCGGAAATATCCAAAAATGCCAGATACAGACGCGTATGCTGGTCATCACTTCCTGTGATCATCGCATCTCGTTCTAGATCTGTTTACGTACGTATGTAACTGTGGTCTCATAAGTCGCACTTAAATCTTTCTGTCACATCCAAATCTTGCACTGTTCCTGGTGGCGTCATTGTCAAGTTGTCAAAGGAACCAATCTTTGAGACCATCAGCTGCCTAATGTAACTATTTGGAAGGTCATGAGCCCACCCACTGTAAACAGCGCTGTGGTAAAATGTGCATAATATTACGTGCAACGAAAATTTGAGCCGGTCTGTAGGTGCTGGATATGCGAAGCAGCGTGAAATTTCACACTTCTATTCAGATATAACAGGTATTTGCATGGATTGTCCAGTCATTAGCTCAAAATAGATAAAAACGTAAATGTGGAAGTGAAATCCTTGAAGATGCAACTGACAGCAAATTTGTAAATACTTTCTTAAGTTTAAGACAAAAGCCGTCACTCGGTCTAGTAAGCCGAAACACCTTTAATGCTATTTTCGAGGACTCGTATAGCACTATATGTTTTGAGACTGCCGGAGAATGTCGCGACTCTTGGCCGCCTTCCGTAATCGCTCTGCGGCCTTAGGTCTTGACTTGAGAACAACTCTTACAGCTGAGCTTACTCTATACTCAAAAGGGAAGGATACTTGGTCGAAATGGCATTTTCATACGAAATGTATACTATTTCATAGAGCATGGAACACTGATTCAAATCTGCTTTCGATATCTGCAAAGCGCTTTTGAGAGGGGAGCTGTAAGTTTTGTGAAGCAAAAATTCGAACGCACGGCATAAAATCATTCAGTACTGTAGTCGGTGAGCTCAAATGCGGCCATGATTACTGCCAGGGCGTTTTGTGTTATAATTGCTTTCAGTCTAATTAAACTTTAGCCAGTCATTACTCTTTCAAGCGCCAGAAAGACCTCAAGCCTGTTTTTCAAATCACTGAATTTTTGCCTCAAAATTTCCCATAACTTTCCCAAGCGCTTTGCAGACATCAAAAGCATATTTGGAATGACCGCTCAATGCACTAAAAGACAGTATACATATCATTTGGAAATTCCACTTTGACCGGTTATGCATCCCTTGTCAGAAGCAAGATTCAAGAAAATCCACGACAAAGTGATGCTTTATGTGTTTATAAAGGAACTCTATGCGGAAATATGCAGCGAAAGCTACTCTCTTAAAAAATGCAGCATTCATTGTTGTGATATTTTTGCGCCCAACACTCAAATTGTGTATCGCCTTTGAGCGGGCCGAACGTTATCTACACATGTAGGAGGAGGATCTCAATTTTTGGATTGCGGATTACCGCTTATTCGCACATATAATAATATAGAGTTCTTGTATGATAAATGGATGTGGTCGGTGATCCGCAGTGCACATGAATTAGTTAGAAAAAAATTTTTCATCGTCAACTGAAAAAATTTCTAGCACCTTGACTACATTATTATCGCTTTAACTTCAAAATATGTATCTTGCATAAGTCATAGCGATCGAACGAGACATGTATAAAATCTTCTGCTAGTCCATGTCAGTTTGCAGCGAAGCTGGATGAATTGTTCAAGCGCATTTGTGCATGTTACATTTGTGATTGCATGTGATAATTATCACCCATCTATGAAAAGAAACAGCATGTACGTTACTGGTAGAGCCTATGATGACAATTTATTGAATGCGACTGGAAAAAGAAATTTAGATTTGGAATTTGCAAGTTGTCAGAACTACGAAATATAAACATTCTCTCAAAAATGTCAGTCTATGCGATATAAAAGACCGCGAAACTGCTGCTGGTGCTTCTCCGACTTCACTAGTTGCTCAAAAGACGACTAAGTTTGAGTCATGTATGTGTCTGATTTTGCATGCCTCTGTTTACACTGGCATGTGGAGAGCGTTATATCTTCACAAAAAGTAAGCATTGTCACGGCATACCTCCGTTTGCCCACCCCTCCCCCCCCCTTCCGCTATTCAAATAAGACGGATGTTCCGTTTTCTATGTAACAACAACATGGTTCACTTCGATCGATGGGCATCAATAAATTGAAATATGTGCTGAAAGCTTGGCATATTGAGTAATTATTCTTCAATTTGATGCCGTAACAGGTTGATATGGAACGCTTTATTAGTGCCTGACGTTTCGGTGATGGCGCCTGCTCCAGAGAAAGTCCGTTAATTACTTACAGTCAAGCGTTCTAAGCCAGCAAACGCCCTTTTTACTTCGTTTGTTTGCTCATCGAATGCGCTGTTGCTTGCCAAGCCTATGGCACTTCTTCGTTTACGACAATAAATGTGAACAAAGATAAATATTTCTCGTTATTGGAACAAAGACTTTTGACACTGTGCCTCATCAACCCTGTAAAACTCACCTTTGATAGCTACCGTAACCGTGATACGTTATTCCGTCACCTTCAATTCTAACAAATCACATTATTGATGTGGTTTGCCGTCACACGTAATTGGATCACCGCATTCCACTTTGATAAGATGTTTTGTGTTACCTGTGGCAACGAAAGATGAGGGATACGGTAACAGCGTAACCATACTTTTTATAAGCACTTCACTAGAAGTTGACATTTGACAGTATGAGTGTTGATTATTTCAGCGTTCCTCCTGATTTTATTCACGACATCTGTATTTCCCCTTCGCGGCGCTTTGTTCCGCAGCGGACGATCGTTTCGATTCAGACAACCCACATCCGCAGAGGAGGAGGCTCCTGTCGAGATCAAAAGAAGTGTAAGTTTCTAGTCTTGCTTTTATTTACAATCGAGTAGATTCTCCGCTTAATATAGTGTGCTTGCACAGAAGGTGAAATGCGGTAAAGTTTGCGCGTGAGCAAGTAGCCACGCCAGTAATGCCGACATTTTGCGCGCGCAAATAGCCGGCGTCACAGGCGTAGCTATCTCTTTACGCACAAATTTTACCGCATTTCGCCTTCAGTGCAAGCACACTATATTAAACGGAAAATCTACTCGACTGTAGCTTATTATGAAGACAAGGAGAAAGAAGCACTTTGAAAGTTTTTCTGGTTGCTTTCATTTGAAAGTGGGAAAGAATAGTCGCACATTTGCGTAGCATCTAAACTTCTTCCTTTTTCTTGGAAGAAGTCGACACAAAAACAAATTGTCATCTTCCAACTCTGTTCAATGGATTCTACCGAGTACTCTACTAAAAAATTCCAAAATGGATAAATTAAAGCTGCTCATCTAGATAGGTTTTTACATATAAGTACTGCGATTGCTTAGACTCAGCAAAGTGGCTTACTAGAGGATACCGGATATGGTCCAAGTTTGCTGCATAGATTCAAATCTTTGCGCCAAAGAGTAGGAACAGAAATTGCAATCTTTTCAATAGTGATCGCCCCTACTTTCATTGGAACTGCTGTACGTCGTACGCACTCTAAGATCGACCGCGGTCCATGCGCACGTTCGGATTCTTCTTCTTCTACACCATTTGACACGATTACGATTAGATTGAGCTTTGGTCGAAAAGAGATGGTATCTCCTTCAATTACGCTCTCCTTTGATATTTGGAAATCATCTAGCTCAAGCAAGTGAGCATCATCAAGGAGACAATGGGTGAACGCGGTATGCTCGCTAATAGATTAGTTTTCTCAACACTTTTTGCAAAATCAACGAAAAATTTTGCTACCAGCGTAAGCTTTTCGTTAATGCTTTTCGTTTTCACTTAAGCAACAAACATATTGAAATGCAGTTAGAATGCATCACTTTAACTATTATAGATTAGTATTTTGCTTGGAAGATTCCGCTCATTAAATATTGTACAAACCAAAGCTTTTCTCCCTCCCCCCCCCCCCCCCCCCAGTCCGCCCCTGCAGTGAACATCATCCTCTACCAACAGTAGGTATCATTTTTCATCTTTTTTAGAATCATAGATATTTACATTTATCGCAAACAATCAAATCCATGTAAATTCTATGCTAAGTTGCTGTTCAAGACTTTGTTAATAGTCGTGCACAAGGCCCATTCCTAAAGTAGGCGCTTTTGAGTGCCGCTTGAAGGATAGCTACTTCTTCACGATGGGTCACTTGCGTGATATTTTCAAACGAATAACGGGTTTTTGGTCGTACAATACTAACTATACAAGAAACATAGCATTTTAGGTTTTGTTCTACCCGGATTTCTCGGCAAGAGCTCTGGACAATGACGGAACAGCCTGGCGCCTTCATTCCACTTACAATTCCCAAAAACGCAGAAATACTAGGATATTGACGCCTTGATAGAATTGTGCATGTGGAGATAAAGTGTTGTTAATAAGCAGTCCTACCGTATAGGACGCTTTGCAAATATGGCTTCATTTTTTCAGCAACTAGAGTTCATATTTTATACTACATTTTCGGGAGGTTACGGTACTCTACACATGATGAAGGCAATGAATACGGTGTTCAGAAAACACATTCTTGACCAATTGTCGGCGAGCTCAATTGTACAGTGTGCGACATAGTCTGAAGAAGTTATAAGGGGAGGTGGAACTGCACGAATACCTCCGCGATAGCGATTGCTTCAGTGTCGTTGAACTTGAATGAAATAATAGTACTGCTCCCGCTAACGATAAATGACAACACACACACGTTGGGAGTCGTAACTTACTAACACAAGTATTGGCACATTATTACAAGTATATCAGAAGTCTTACTTCCAAATGTAAAGCCGCATCAATTCCTTTAAACGCGAATAAACCCGGGCGCATAGCTGCGCATGTGCTTCGCGAAGCGGTCGATAACTCATGTTATTTTTGCAACTGATGCGTCCCACGGTTAAGAGTTCCAGATGAACTTGTTTGCCTTCAGAGCAATCGGGGCATAGTTGCGATAGGGGGAGTGTCGGATCTTACTCCCTTCACTCTGAGGCCAAACTCCGGATGACCCCCTTCATCTGGGCTGAGATTGGTATTGTACTCTGAGAATATGATAAAAATCGTTATCAAAAGGTTTTGCAGGCTAAGTACCTCAAACAACAAGTACACTCATGAATTTACAAAGTAAACGGTATTTATGCTTATTCATATCATTTATTTATCCTCGTAGCCATTTGGAGAGCAGAAAGTGAGAACAAAAAATCAGTTGATTTTTGAAGTACATAAAATCTCTCATATCTTGCGGCACAGAAGACCTAGAAAAAAGCCGATGGTCTATGTCGATTCTCCATTATCTCAGCTTTCGAATGGTATAAAGCATGTTAGGGCTATTTTGCTTCCCGGCTCTAAAAAGCACTTACTCCGGTGACCGATAAAAGCCAATACATTGGTGGAGCTGGGTGAAGCAAGCTAATAGTAAAAAATGTGCTGTGGATTGACGCCGTTATCAGCACTAACGGGAAAGTGAGCCCTCGCGTCTATTGACCGGTTATATAAGCAAAAGGATGAAAGACACTTTGATCGACTACCTAAGAAAAAACCAATTTCCATTTTCACTCTTAGTAGATACATCCACGGATCCTGATAGCAAACAAATTTTTTTACTCTTTGTGTGCTTTCCGGATCGAACTACGTTGCATCCCACAACCCACTTCCTTGAAGCGCTCCAACTATTGGAACCTGAGACGGGTAAATACATTTTCGAGACGATTTATTTGTACTCTCGAAAAACAGGGTTGCTCAACGAGTTTGTTTGGAATCTTGTTGCGGTAGCCACGGATGGAACATCGGTAATGCGTGCACAAGGAGGGCTTCGAGGCATACTCAATAAGAACATTTCGCAATCTGGTAGAGATATCTTGGCAGCAAGAGGTGCTAAGCAGGAGGAGATAAATGCGGTTTTGGCTGACCCTGTGATATGGGTGCGCTGCATGGCACACAAAATTGAACTCGCTTTAGCTGATGCTCTAGCTCAAGCCAGCGAGGCATTTTTGCAATGGAGGAAGTTTGCGACAGCATATCTCAACAAGTTGCGTTCTACTTTGCAGCTCCATCACGGAGGCGTGTCCTATTAGAAATGGACAAAACTGTGGAAAATGAACGCTTCATCAACTTGAAACGGATAATCGCGATAAGATGGACTTCGTCAGAAGAAAGTTGATACAAGATCTTTTTTGCTCTTCCATAAAAACATTCAACATTTTAGACGGTATCCACAGCTAGTTGAAAATGTACAAGCATGTGTGGCTTGCCTTGGAAAAAATATCCAAGTCTGCGAATCTTGCCAGTAAAGAACGCTTGAAAGCAGCAGCGTTCTTGCACGTCATCAAATCCTTGAAGTTCTACAGAGACATGGTATTCCAGTTAGAAGTGCTAGGAGAGATCGGCACATTGTCAAGAAATGCATAGGTGTGCCCTCCACTAAGCCAGTAATTCCTCTGATTTTTTTCTTTTCTAAGGACGAATCATCAACAATCTGGAAAGCCCAAACTGACCTCGACGACGCACTCAAAAAACTATGGGAAATTGGTGAATTTCCACACCTTCACACAAAAACCCGCCCATTTCTGGAATCCATACTGTGTAAACCTAGTGCTGAAGAAGGTCACTTTCGTGAAAACGCCCTAGACTCACCTAATTGTGGATAATGGTTGGATTTGATGAATCAAAAACTTTGAGGCATTTAGAAGAACATGTTATTGAAATTCCCTTCAAGGTTTTGAAAAAGTTGGCAGTCCGAAGAAGAAACGGCAGAATACTTTACAAAATCGCAGATGACTCGCATGTGTTCCAGTTCAAAAGCGAGGCAGAAGGAGAATTTTCACGCCGACGAAAATGTTGTCGACATTGATAAGAGTTGACAATTGCGCGAAACTCTCTGATTTCGTACATTAGACATCTAACAAGGAGAGGATACTTAGTCGAAAGCGCCAATCCAGATGAGACATATATCATCTTAAAGCGCTTGAAACGCTGATTCCAAATCTGCAGTTTCTAGCTGCGGAGCGGTTTTGTAGGGGGAGTTATGAGGAGTGTTTCCTCTAGAGTTGAGGCGCACTCCATCATTTCTCCCCCTACCTATAAGCACTGTAAAGGAGTACCAACTGGTGGCAACTGACCTAGTGGTCAGTGACATGCTTCATAAAGAGAGTGTCAAGGTCTTAGTCCTCTTCGCACGCAACTTTGTTTCAGTTTTTTTTGCAAAATTGAGCCTCTAAATGGCTTTAAAGCTCTAACGCTTGAAATTTTTGATGATATTGATGCTATAGAAGTGGTAAAAAACCAAAGTAATACGAATATTATGATCTCTATGTAATCTTCACTCAAGTTACTTACCGAGAGGCCAGTTGCCACCAGCTGGTAATCCTCTACGGTGCCTATAGGTAGGGGAGACATGGTGGAGGGCGCCTCGACCCTAGAGGGAAACACCCCTCATAACTCCCTCGACAAAACCGCTCCGCAGCTAAAAAGTGCAGATTTAGAATCAGCATTTCAAGCGCTTTAAGATGATATATGTCTCATCTGGATTGGTGCTTTCGACTAAGTATCCTCTCCTTGTAAGCAGATTGCATAGTTTCAATGAGGAGATGTCCAGGAAGTCCACTGCTGATCTTCAGGTTGCTGAAGATTTCAAGGCTGCTAAATTCAGAAGATGGATATGAACAAAAGGAAGGTGTTAGTACAAAGCATAGCTACTGCTCTTAGATCCTGACTGGAGTAGGAACCCAACTCCGTGCTTTATGCTGCTGGAAGTTTTTCGCCTTGTGACATTATGATCTATGATATTGAAATAAAACCAGCGCGCAGCATAGTATCTACTTTTTTCGGCTATTCCGCAGATGCTGTTGAAGAAGAAGTTGAGCAGCTTTCTCGTCAGCTAACAAGATATATGCCAGAGGAGGTGAAGCCAGAGTTCGACAAGGCCAAAAAAGTATGCAATATTTCCTTCCCGTGTTGCGAAAGAATATGCGATCTGGCTTCCCCATTACTTACCGCAAAAATCTGATGGACATACTAGCAAAGCTAGTTTCCATTCCGACTAGCACGGCAGAGGTGGAGAGGGGATTTTCTATCCACTCTGTTATCAGGACACAATGCAGAAGTCGTACAACGGTGGAACATCTAAGCAATTACTCAAGGTTTGTCAACCTTCCAAACATATTGTTATCTAAAAACTTCGTTCAAAGGTCACCGTATAACTTTTTGAAATATCCTAAAAGATGGTATGAAGAAAGTGGTCACCTACCTGCTGACTTTCCTGGTGCTACCAGAGGGCCAGGAAAAAAAATCACAAAAGCGCTTAGAGAAGAAGAACGTTGCAAATCCATTTTCGACTTGGAACGCATTTTCCCGCAATTCTACTTCTACTCCGATGACTTTGGAAGAAGAAGAAGATCTTTCAGGCAGCGAACTTGTTGTCTTTGACGTTAGCGATAGTGATATTGCTGATAATGATGTGCAGGAATTGTAAATTGTTCCCAACTTGTACATCTTTTGGGATAAACCTTATTGCCTTCGTTTTTTGTTGATGCAATGAAACGGGAGCACAGATCTTCATGAAGTTACAATATTCAAACTTCACTTATGTATACATTGACGCAACATATTGCTAACACATGACAAAGTTAGTCTAGATAAATTTGTAACGCCCCCCCCCCCTTATTATGCCCCAACGCAAGCATGACCTAAATAAGGTACAAATTCTCAGACAATCAAAAGCTCTCAGCCGACCCCACCAAAAGCGTCGTTGCCTTATCGCCGCCACTTTTCGCTTCCCGCTGAGAACTTTGCTAGAACTGGCAGCGTGCAGGCTGCCATAAAGTCTTAGCGCGAAGCGAATAAGGCGTGGCAGCCACTTTCGCTTCGCGCCGAAGACTTTATGGCAGCCCGCTCACTGCCAATTCTAGCAAAGTTTTTCAGCGGGAAGCGAAAAGTGATAAGGCAGCGGCGATAAGGCAACGACGCTTTTGGTGGGGCCGGCTGAGAGCCTTTGATTGTCTGAATTAGAGATCTTCATACCACGCTTTTTTACCTTTTCTCTCTCCCCCCCCCTTCCCCTAGGCTCACATACCCCCTTCACCTGGGGAGAGCCCGGCTCCCCCTATCGCACCTATGGATCGGGGTGCGTCTTACACCTGTAAAATATGTAGTTCAGCCTAACAGAAAAGTATGATCTAAACTATAAACAGCAACCCTTGATATTAGAGTGATTCTAACAAAAATCGCAAAGATGGAAGCTGTTAACTTATTGGAAAGGGGCCAATACATGTCAAAGGAGGAGACGATGGTAGGACGATCGTCCCAATTTTTTTGCTTTTCCAGTGATCGCAAATTTTGGTAGAACAAAGCTTGAACAAGTATCAAGACACGCTCACACAGGACTTCATCCCTCTTGTGGTGATGCTAAGCAGAATTTCAAGAATGTTCCCAGTGATTATCCAGCTTTACCATTCA